CACCACAGATCTTAAAGCACAGCAAAGGAGCAGTGGCTAGAAGTGGGTTAGAACAAAAGTAATGACCAACTTTTCATTTGGGTTCTCAGTTCTTGGAACTTCATAGGGGCTTCTGTTTGCTAAATGAATATTAATGGTGACTGTATTTTGAATTAACATGAGTCCATGGACCAAGTTTTGGTTGGACACTTCATGGATGCACAGGGTAATCACCGACTCTCGATGAACAGGTTCTCCAGTACCTTCTCAGTTGTTGGTGTGTGTTCCAACACTTTCCAGAAAGGTTTATTGGTGTCAATACCCTGCAGTCCAATTCTGCCAAGAAGCCACTTTAACACAGGAGCCAAAGGCAGTTTTTAAAAGAAATTACTGGATGATCTGCTGAACTGCACAGATATCTACACTACATAATCACTGATGTGTGAAACTTTATTATTTTTCATTTAAAATCGGATAATGTCAGCTACTATGTATTAAAAAGACATTTCCTATGGATATTAAATAAAGTAAATGTGAAACATGTAACTACTAGAATCATAGTTAATGAGAACAGAGATCAGAGATATGACTTCCTGATTCAAATATTTCATCGAAATCTAATAGCAGAAGGAAATAGTGGATATTACTCAGCTGAAAGTATTCAGCCCTAAATCCTCATCTTACATAACTGTACCAGACCACAAGTTCCTTTATCCCTCGAATGGATTCAACATCATCACTCCAACTCCACCCAAGCCTCAAACCCTAACAAGTAGATATTAATGAGAATATTTCAATAGGCTAATAAACATGCATATAGAATGTATATGCAGAAATAGGTGTAATGTACGACAAAATTCCAGACATAGATTCAGGTTTTACTTTCTGCCTTTCAGATTTAAAAAGAAAATACAAACACTCTAAAATATTTTAAAAGGACATTGATCCATGTATTGCTGTGTGACTTTCCTATGTAAAAAAAAACCCAGGTAAGGAATTTCCTTACAATTACGACCTAAATCAAAGCCGAGAAAAGGGAGAAGAGAGGGGGACTGGTGGGCAAGGCCCAGGAAGGCTGGGCCAGGTGCACAAGGCACGTGGGCGAATCGTGAGCTCTTTTTTTCCCCGCCTGGAAGTAGACGTGTCCAGTATTCACGTTCCCTGCACACTCTGGCACTAGAGAGGTGCCGCAAGGGTTCCTCAGGCATTGCCGGTCCTACTTTCTCTGGACCTCAATAATTTCCTGGAAATAATCCCATGCACGAGTTGGTCCATTAAAGTTAATGAAGCACGTGTCCGCGGTGCGGAAAAGAACTGCCTCCTGGGGGGAGCCCCACACGCTTCAGGTACGCCTCCTCTGCAAGCTCCCCCCAAGGGATTTGCACCCGCGGACGCTCACCACAGACTTCTCCCTGGCAACTCGTCAACGGGAAACAGCTGTTCTTCCAGACCCGCCCAGGGTAGCCAGGGGCAGGTGCCCAGGCAGAGCAGGGCGGCTGGCTGTGGGTCCATTACACATCTCACATCTAGCAAACCCCGGCGGCCGAGCAATCTTCTAGCTGAAGGAGTGCGCCTAGGCTGGGACCCGGCTGGGACCCGCGGGCAGACCCGCAGACCCGCGTCTGCTCTGACCTGCAAGCTAGCTAGCGTCTCTCCTCGCCAGCAAACTGGACCCTCGACCCGCTCTCCAGACGCGCACAAGCCCCCTCCGTCGCGGATCCCTTACCTTGTGGCCTTTCCCGGGGGGACACCTGATGTTATTGGAGGCTCCAGCTGTTTGATTCATGTCCAGAGGAAGTTGGGGGTTCCGGATTCGCTACCTTGAGAACTTCTCGGCGCGTGGAGGCTGGCGGCACAGGTGCGCCCCTCTGATGAGGTGCAAGGTGAGTCCTCCCTCTCCAGGTGGTCGCGGCGAGGGCGAAGGGAATCTTCTCGCTGCGGGTTTCTGTCAGGCTCCTCGCCTAGGGACGACAAAATCCGCAGCCCCGCGCTGGAGGAGAAGCAGCTGCCTGGACCCCGGAGGGAGCCCGGGCCGGCGCCAGCGGCTCCAAGGGCGCTCTGCCCAGTACTGCCTTCCTGGGAAACAGTCCAGGACTCAAGATCAGAGGCCCGAGCAAACCCAAAGGAGCTCAGAGGAGGGGCGAAGAGGTGTGTTCGGGAGCGGGGTGTGTAGGGCTGAGCTCTTCCCTGCGCAAAGGGAGGGGAAACCCG